CTCTGTCTCACCCATTGGAGCATCCCCCAGATGGAACCATGCCCACCCTGGAGCTCCCTCAGCCTCAGCCACGGCTCCATCTGCAGGCCTGGGGGCTTCCCCCCGTGCTCTGCTCGCAGGAGGTCCCGGGGAGCTGCTCTGGGAGGTTTTGGCCACGGGCTGTGAGGAGGACACCACGCCGGGTGTGCGGCATCTCCCAGCGTGAGCTCGTTTGAGGAGCGAATCCAAGGCGAGGATTCCATCCCAAAGCYTTTGTCGGAGGGGTGTCCCCATTGTTTTGGAGGGATTTGGGTCAATTTCCCCGTGCTTGGTGTATTTGTGAGGATGCTTTTATCGGTATTGGTGTCTGCGGGGATGTGTTTGCATCCATCATTCAGCAGCCCGGGTCATTTCTGCCTCTGACAGTGCAGGCATTGTTATTTTGCCAGGACAGCAGAGCAGTAACAGAGTAATGTCAGCTATAATTCATCCATTATGATTATTTGGGTTGAGAAACTCGCATCACCATGGAGACATTTTAATAATAATGAACAAAAAAAATTAAAAGCAGCTTTTTAATGAGTTGGCAGCTTGTCCGAGTTGAAAGGTACTGTATTGTGGGTTCATAATGAAATTTTGGACATGAACTATTTTACATAAAAGGCCCAAATCTGTAGGCTGTAATTGGAGCCAGGAAGGCGTATGGTCCCGATTGAGTCCTCCAGGAGGGAGATAAAGCTCAGGGCATCCCATGGCAGGCACCAAAATCGGGAGCTGCTTTTCCAAATATCCCTGGGGCTGTGTCCTGGGCATAAATCAGGCTCTAAAGGCATTTAATTCCTGACTGGGGGGTGTCTCTGCAAAATGCTGCTTCCCAAATGCTATTTAGCCAGGGTGAGGGGGATGAACTCGGTTCAAAGGTGTCATATTGTCATGTTGTTCCCCTTGGAATTGTTCCTTTGCTCTGYAGCTGTGCTGGTTTTGGTGCAGCTCCTGCCTCATCCCTGCTGTAGGCAGCTAAATCTATTTAAAACACTTTATTCCTAAAAATTAAAGCCCCTCCCAGGCAGGAGAGGAAGAGGATGAGTTCAGGCCTCGGTGTTTGAGCTCCAGCTTCGCTGTGGTGGCAAGAATTCCCCACTGCCACGTTCCTCATCCCCTCCCTGGGCTAAACCCCCTGGGATGCCATCTAGGAACAGTCTGAAGTGGTGAAGAAAATCTATTTGAAGCTTCTGGGCAGCGAGCTGGATGGTTTTTGTGGTTTATTTGACTGCACATCTGCAGTTTCAAAGGGATCCCTGTGTTCCCTGCCACACCAGGGCCACACCAGTGTCACAAACCCCACGCTGGGGCTGCCCCACTTTGCTCTGCCCCACTCTGGTGTAAGATTTCCCAGGCAGATACCCAGGGGTACAAAGCAATCCTTGTTTTGGAAAGCCTGGACCTCGGAGGGGACATTYCCTGCCAGCATCTGAGGGGGTTATGTGGATAATTTGATCAAAAAATCTTCTTTGTGAATGCTTGTGGTGGTTTTTAGGCTGCCCTGTTTGTGATGTGCACCCTGGATTTTCAGGTTGGGCTCATTTTTTTTTCAGAGAAACCCAAAGGGAGGAGTTTGGGTTTCTGCAAGAAAGTGATGCCCAGATTGACCTGAATCTCTGAATGTGTCTGGCCCCGCAGATGGACCCTGTGGCTTTAATCCTCCAAACCTTGCAGAAATAAAGGCAGAAATCACCTGCGATCCGACACGGATCTTTCCTGGGAGGAGAAAAACCCAGGAAATCGGAATTTGCTGATTACCAGTTTTATTTCCTTTTTCAGATTTGTTTGGTGTGCCTGCAGCAACCCTGAAAGCCAAAGCCACCAAATCCTCTGTTCTCACCGGGAATGGACAAATCCTGACACAATCCTCACTCCCTTAAATTAAACCTTTCCATATTTCATATTCCATATTCCACCTGGCCCAGGGTGCTCCATTCCCTCTCTCCCTTTGACATCTCAAGTTCATTTGGGGACCCCGATGATGAACAAAACAGAAAGTTTTTGCCTTGTCCCCTAAAAAACAATTTAGGAACTTCTTGAGGAAGGGTCATGTGCAAATAATAAAAGTTGAAGGAAACAACTTTTGTAGAACTTCTGTTTGCCCAGCACAGGAGTTTCACCCCAGAGGGTTTGGGGAAAAGCCACATCTTCACCTGGCCCTACAGAAACTTTTAGGGTTTTTAGGGTGCTGATGTGAACACATCTGGAGATAAACCAGACAACAGGTTCTTAGCCAACAGCACTAAACTGTTGGTTTAGGGGATGAATTTTTTTAGGGAAACCTCACTAACCTCTCTGCTTTTCCACTCCAGCTTCCCCATTCCCAGAGGACTTCTCCATTCTAACCACTGTAAAAGCGAAGAAAGGAGGTCAGTCCTTCTTGATCTCAATTTACAATGAGCAAGGGATCCAGCAAATTGGTGTGGAGTTGGGTAGATCTCCTGTATTCCTGTATGAAGACCATACAGGAAAGCCAGGCCCAGAAGACTATCCTCTCTTTAGAGGCATTAACCTAGCAGATGGCAAGTAAGTGACATTTTGTGCACCCAGGAAACACAGTTCGTTTTTTTTTTCGTGTCAATGCCAGCATGTTGAACGGTGTGGGAAATCGGAGTCGTGCCCGTAAAAATGTGTTTGCACAGCCCTGGCTGCTGACAGGAGCCCCAGGCTGTCGTTTTGGCCTTTGGTGGATTAATTTTGTATTTTTGAGAGTTGTCAATGCTGGTGGTTGGTGCTTGTGGGGATAGGAGCGGCCATTTGGCTTAAAAAATAAATTCGGTTTGTATTGAAAAACCTATGATGAGGTTCAAAAGAGGGTGGAAAAGGGAGTCCTGTGTGGTTTTTATCACCCTGGCCTTCTCCTTTGGGTGAGGAAAGCTGTCAGTCAGCATTTCCCTGACCACCAAACCCTTCAGGAGTGTTCCCAGTGAGGTTTGCACAACTTCAGCTCCTGAAAATCCATTTTTCCCCCCATCATTGTCTTGTTGTGCGAGGCCCAGGGCTCTGCCTGACCCGTCTGCGGGCTGTCCCCTCGCAGGTGGCACCGGGTGGCTCTGAGCGTGCAGAAGAAAAAYGTCACCTTGATCTTGGACTGTAAAAAAAAAATCACCAAGTTCCTGGACCGGAGCGAGCACCCCATCATCGACGTCAACGGCATCATCGTGTTTGGGACCAGGATCCTGGATGAGGAGGTCTTTGAGGTGAGTTCTGGTAGGATTGAGGAGGCATTTCCAGCTCAATTTTTGGGTTTTTACTCAGYAGTGTAAAAACAAATCGCTGTTTTTAAATTTTGAATAATTTTCGTGGCGATGATGGGAATTGGGGGCCGGGTGAGCTGTTGGAATGAGCTCCTCTGGTTCTGTGGTTTCAAACCTTTGCTGGGGTTCTTGACCATCTCTGCCCTGGGATTTTGTAGCTCTCAGAATGTTTAACCTGGGAAAGGCTCACGAGGTTTTCATTCATCCCCATGCTGGGGTTTAGATCTGCAGGAGCAGCGGGTGAAGGCTCAGRGAAGCAGCTCCCTCCCAAGTTCACCTCGGGGCTGCAGGAATTTGTGCTTTTTTCTTCTTTTTCCACACATTGGCCATGGATTCCTGGTTCTTTTGCTCCGTGACACGAGGGGACTCTCTCTCCCTGACAGCTCGGTGGGCAGCCCCGTCACCTCCCACACAGCTCCTGCTTCCGAGGAAAAACCAAATCCCGAGAGGGGGAACGTTCCCATGGGCTCCTCTGAGTGCAGCAGGGARACAGAGCATTATTTATAGACAAGGGACATATGGGAAAAGCTTTTTTTTTCCCCCACATTCAGCAGCTTGTTTAATGTATGCATTTCCCCGGCAAAATCTGCGCTCTGCTGCTCCTGTGGGGAGGAGAATCCCATTCCTGATCTTTTTCTTGAGCTGGAGTCCCATTCCTGATCTTTTTTTTTGAGCTGGAGCCCCATTCCTGATCTTTTTCTTGAGCTGGAATCTCATTCCTGATCTTTTTCTTGCTGGAATCCCATTCCTGATCCTTCTTCCGAGCTGGAATTGCCTCCCTGAAATCAGCACCAGTGCAATGGAGTGTAAACCAAGCCCTATTGATCCACATCCTTTTTTATAGAATTTATGCTGAGGAACTCATGGAATTTTATGGAATTTATGAATTTTTATGGAATTTATGCTGAGGAACTTATGGAATTTTATGGAATTTATGGATTTTTATGGAATTTATGCTGAGGAACATCTGCATCTCAGGGCCTCCCCAGCCCGGCACGGGGATGGATTAATTTCTCCTATCCACAGATAATTCGAGCCACAGCAAAGCCAGCTTGTCTGCATTTTGCTGTCCCTCAGAGGGAAAGTTCCAGTCTGTTTAATATTCCCAAACATCTGGGAGCTGCTCTGCTGTAAACAGAACAGGAATGCACAGACTGGAACCCMACCCCGCTGCCAAAATCGCGGTTACAGAGCCGGGGCTGCAGCTCGGGGTTGTGTTAAATTAAGAGACGTTCCCTGGGAAGTGGAACAATTAGAATGGAAAGTAAAAGCTGGGTTTAATGGGAGTGTCTTTTGCAAGTGTTGGACTCTCTGCCAAATATTTTGGTGTTGGATGCTGTGTTTGGAGGGAGCTGTTGAGTGGAGTGGTGGGTGAGGACTCTCCAGGTCAGATCTGGAGAAGGATTTGGTGTCACATCCAGGCTGGGTGAGGAATCTGCCCTGCAGGCTCTTAAATTTGGGAAATTACACAATTTCCAGAGCTGCTCCTGAAAGTTGGGGCGTTCCCAGGAGGCTTTTGGGGCTCACCTGAATTGAGATTCCTGATTTGGGATCGCTGATTCCTCTGCCAGGAAGGGAATGGGATCCGAGTGTTGGTGGGAATTGCTCCCACAGCTCCTCCTTGAGCCCTGCCCATGGCTCCCCTGCTGGAAAGATTTTACCCAGGGGTTTAAATTCTGAGAGGCTTTTGGGGCTTTCCTAGGTGGATTTTAAGGCTCACCTGAATTCGGGACTCCTGATTTGGGATCGCTGATTCCTCTGCCAGGAAGGGAATGGTTGTTGGGGGAAATCCTAACCCCCAGCTCCTCCTTGAGCCCTGGCCAAAGCTCCCTTGCTGGAAAGGTTTTACCCAGGGATTTAAACTCTGAGATGCTTTTAGGGCTCACCTGAATTCGGGATTCCTGATCTGGGATCGCTGATTCCTCTACCAGGAAGGGAATAGATCCCAGTGTTGGTGGGGGATTTACTCCCTCAGCTCCTCCTTGAGCCCTGCCCATGGCTCCCCTGCTGGAAAGGTCTCAAACTCCGAGGGACCCCCTCAGTTTTGGGATGGAAAGGATCCTCCTGCCTGATCTGGTTTTAAACTGCCAGACCTTGCTGGCACTTAGGACAATTAGAAAATCCTTTTTTTCCTGTGTCTTACATGCACTGATAGTGGCTATCAAACCCCTTTAGTCCTGGCATTTATTCTTTTTTATTTTTGGTCTCCCTGCTCACACAGAGCTCAAGGCACCAGCAGCTTGCACTGGGGTGGAACAGGTTTTTCTGCAGGCAATGGACTAGAACCTCATTTCCTTCATATCTCAGCAGCTTCATTTCCTTTGGCCCCTCCTYGCTCCTTTCTGCAAGGCTGAGCAGAAACTGTGCAGGCAGAGCTGGGGCTCAGAACAATGGGGAAAGGGTGTGAACTGACATTTATTTTATTTATTTATTCCTGGAAAGCTGAGGGGTTCTGGACCTCGTGCAGGAGGTGAAACTGCTGCTGTCCCATAGGGCCCCAATCTGCAAACCCCACCTAATGAGGTTTTCTTCATCCTGGATCTTCTGTGTTTGTCACTTTGGCTGGAAATGGAAAATTAAATTTTAATTTAAATCAAATTAAAATAACCCTGTGAGGTGGGAGTGGGGTTGGAGGGCTGGGGTTGGCTCTGGCTCAGCWCAGGAGCTGAGCAGCAATGGGAATTTGTGTTCTCCTTGTCAGGGCTGAAATCAAACCAACCCCAAACAGTTTTTGTTTTGGGAGTTGTGATTATTGGAGGGGCTGGGTCTGGCTGGGGTTGGGAGTGGAGCAGTTTGAGAGCCTGGATGGGAACTTCCTCACTTGTGTTCTGCTGAAAAAATAAACAAATACCAACAAAACCCCCCAAAAACCAAACCAAAATAAGCCCCCACAAAACAAACAAACAAAAAAACAAAACCAAAAAAACTAACAAAACA